CGACATTTGACATTTTCTTTCCATAATAGATCTTTTTGGGTAGCACTTAGAGGTAATTTAAATAAAATTGTAGAACATAAACAAGAAATAATTAGAAAGAATTCAATATGTACTGTTAGTGGTCAGTCTTTCCCTTTGTGTTCAAAGTGATAGTGACAGATCTATCTGCTCTGATATTTCACCTGGAGTTGGTAGAGAGGGAAAGAATCCAAAAGGACATTTCAGAAATGAATCATTTTGAGTGTGAATCTAAACCTAACAACTAAACAAGTTTCCCTAGGTGAAAATAAATCCTGTGTAAAGCAAAGGGAGATTAGGGGGATTAAGCATCACAAGTGGAGAGTCTGGAAGTGGGATCCTTGGTGAATACTGGAGGTGTTATTGAGAGATCTAAGTTGTACGTGTTTGTTTTTAATTTAGAAGAACAATAATGCCTCTGGGGCAGAAAAGACTTCCAAATGTGAGGATGTGTGATACTATTGTGATACAAAACATTTGCAGCTAATAGTCATCAAAACAATAGTATGATCTAAAGACTGTCGCATGAGGAGTTAATTCCTATTGACATATTCACTGTATCAGTCTCAGTGTTGTTTCAGTCAAATGAATGTGGTTTACATATACGTGGAAATTGCTTTTGGAATGATGCTCAGGATTTTTATGTAATTAGATGTCTGAGGCTATAGATGAAACAACCGGTTGTTTATTGAAAACGTTAGCTATAAATAGAGTTTGCCATAACTATAGCTTCATTGCATTTCCTTGTGAGAGAGGCTTTTAAAAATCAGATGTACTGATGGTGAGCTAAATTTTCCATATAAGTAATACCTGAATAGCTCAATATTTGATCAAATTATTCAAAAGTTATTACTAAATGTTCAACAGGTAGTATTATTTTGTTGTTTAAAGCTGTATAGTTAGCTATTTATTTACTTACTTCTGCAGAATAAAATGGGCCTGTGAGGAACTAAAGATATGACACAGAAGTTAAAAGCACTGTTGTTTTGCAGAGGACTGAGTTCAGTTTCCTTCACCAACATAGTAGCATAAAGTCGTCTGTGACTTCAGTCCCAGGACATCTGATGCTATTCCTTGCTCTCTGCAGGAAACAGGCATTCACATGGTATATATACATCTACATACAAGTAAACACACACACACACTAGAAAATATGCCTATGAATAATATTGTTATCATATAATAATCAGGTACACAATATTGTTATTTAGACACAGAAAATAGTTAAGGTTCAGAAATATCTTAAAATGAAGGATAATGAATGATAGAAGGATGAAAGGAGAATTCAAAGGTTGTTTTATTTCTAGTTCTAATCTGTCCTACTGCTGAGTAATGAATAGATTCTAACTTTGAATTTGCTTCTCAAAAAAGAATATCATATAACTGGAAGTTCAACAGCAGAAGCAAGAAATTTCATCTGAATCCACATGGAAGTAAAACGTTGGCAACCACTCCTATTACTTGGGCCAAAAGTTAGTCTTAGTTAGATCCCTCTATCGTCATAATCACTATGCCTGTCAAGAAGAGTTCTTAATGAAGCAAGAACCACATGGTTGCATTAAGCTTTGAAATTTGGAGATTGTTTTTACATATTTTATTTTAACCAAGGCTTCATTTTAGAAACATAAAGTTCCTTTCATTTAAAAGAGAATTTAAACCTCAGTTTCCTCAAAAAGTAAAGTAATTTTCAAAATATTTTGGGCCAACATAAATCTTTAAACAGAAGTATTTCCATGTCTCCCGGAAGCAGACTAACAAGGTCTACAGTAGATTTAACTATTCTGATGTTTCCAAAAGTGGGCAGCAGGAACAAAATTTTAATTGATTTTGAGAAAAAAGAATTTGGAAAGTTGTGTGTTTAATTAACTTTGCATGCAATTTCTTCTCCTTTAAAGTTCAGATAGAAGCTGTCAGTCTCAATGAAACATGCAGAAATGTGAGTTGAAATAAATCCATTAAGTGGAGATACATCCTAGACAGAGCCAAGGTGGGTACATTCAAAGCCATAAGGTGTCCGTGAGAAAATTAGAGGGCCAGACTGCAGTTCCAGGAGGAAAAAGCCGGATTGTGGGGTTTTGAGTGATGATCTGAATAAGCTTACGCTCTTAAATATCAGTGACCGACCACTGGAGAGTGCTGAGGGAGGGAGCAATTGTATGAACATGGTAGATTAATGTGGTCACAACTGAATTAGCTGATTTTAAATATGAAAAGTAAATATGAAACGGCAAATGGAGTTCAGTTAGAAGTTCTTAGAAATGGCCTATAATAAGAATTAGAAAAATGAGAATGCAAAATTGGGAGCTCAGTATAAGACATTGAAAATATTACATGAATGAAATTGCCTCAAAGCCAAAGGAATTCTCAAGAGAATGACAGCTATTTGTACTTCTTTGAACCTAACTTCCTGCCTGCCCCATAACCTGATGCAGATATTTTATAATACAGGATGCGCTGATTAGGTTGCAGTATTCTTTAAAAAATATAATTTCTTTTTTAAAAAATAGATTTGTTCTCTCTTCTTTATAAAATCAGTTTCATGTTCTCTCTTTTGAGTATTCCAAACATATAATTAAAGTACTTAATATATTATAATGCTCATTGGCTTGTCACCTAAATTAGGCAGCTTGTTCCCTAAAGCTGAGAAATAAATCCATCCTTTTATGTATCTACCATAGTAGTACACATTAGAAACTCTATAATTTTTTGATGACAATGAACACTGTGGGAAATTACACATAAGCCTAAAAATATATGGTAGTGAATATATAGATGTGATGAAAAGATTGAGAGCCAACTGTTCCAGTAACATCTAAGAAAACCTATAAATGAGTGTGAAGAAAATGATAGAAAGGAAATTGATTGGGGAGACTTTTATGCACCAGGGGGTGCTGTATGTTCTCACACTTTTCATGAGGAACCTAATTATCTTGTGTTTCTCTAAGGTAACAGTCTTCTGTCAACAACATCATCACATCTGGAAGCCCAATTTCAGATGTGCACACACATGCACATGCCTTTGTAAAGCACGGATGAAGAACAAACACCACTCTTTTATGAGACCTTCCTGTATCTTTTCCTGAATACCTACTTTATTGTATTAACATGTAGCCTGAAGACTGCCTTTGTAAATTAAGAGTGCAATTCTTATAAAAAGTTTGTCTTGCCAGGTGTTGGTGGGGCACGCCTTTAATCCCAGCACTCAGGAGGCAGAGACAGGCAGATCTCTGTGAGTTTGAGGCCAGCCTGGTCTACAGAGTGAGTTCTAGGACAATGCTCAAAACAATACAGAGAAACCTTGTCTCGGAAAAACTAAAAAAGAAAAAAATTGTCAATCAACAACTTTCATTCCATTAAGGAAGAAAGGAAGAAGATTATTTGCATAATTACTTTATAACTTCAAATGGAGTTGTTAATGGCTCCTTCCTAGATCAAACTGATAGTGCCTGGATCAACTTACTATAAATGCTGCTTTATGAATACAAGTACCCAGACATCACCTATGTCTACAGAGAAGGATGTGGAATTTCCCCTGAAATAGTCCCTCAAAAATAATGTAGAAATCTGAATTTGACCAACTTTCTGTGCTAATTAGAACAATCAGTTTATGAAATCAGAGAAGACAAAGAAAAAATGTGATAACATAATGCTAGGAAAAAAATCTCAAAATATCTCAAATTTGGGAAACAACCTATAAAGAGTAAATGTTAAATGATTAGCAAAAGTGCCATATATTAAATATTTTACAAATAATTTAAAACACAATATACCATATGAAAAGTAGATATGTTGGCAAACTGATTTCAAACTACCAGAACAATTGCAGGCACAATTAGAGAAACAAAATAATTCTATGATATTTTAATAATGATGATACATTTTTTAAAAATCATTATGAATGACAAAATATTTTCAGTTAATATTATAAGCTATTTGGAGTTTTCTTCTAACTTGTATAACAATATGAAGCAAGAACAGTATGGTGTGATAAATGAAATAAAAAAGAATATTGTGGAAATTCAATAGGCAGAGTATTTACTTTAATACATATTTGATTTTTTATTCTTTCAACTACAAAATCCAGTGACCTACATCAGAGTTATCAAATTATAATACTGAAAAGAACTCTATTAATCATTATTACCAACATACTCCAAGCTGCTTAGGATACACAAAAATACAGAACATTATAACCCTGAAATAGTCATGCCATTGATCTTTCTATGTCAGCTAAATACAGCAGTTATATGTACATCAGCATAGAAGCTACAACATTACGAGCATTGGGTTTCTCAAGGCCACATAGGCAGTATTTATTCCATAAATAATAGAAAGGATTTCATCTAATTTGATTTGAATAAATATTTCAGACACAGAGTACCCAAAATTTACCCAGATATAACCTTGTATTAGCTCCATTTGCCACTGTAATTCCTGTAATAATCATTTGGCCATAGGAATTTATGGTCAAAGGAATGCTGCAATCATATGTTTTAAATTGCCAATATCTCCATACCTCATACAGTAAGGGAAAAAGATCTAACAAGAACAACATTTTATTGTATTGATGTGTTTTCAAATCTAGTTTTTCAAATACAACTTGGAATATTTGAAGGAGAAAAACAAAAAAACACTAGAAGGATTATATCAGTTGTTCCATATGTTTTGTCTGTGTATAATTAGGGATTTTAGTTCTACCATTAGCTAATTAGGTTACTTTGAATGTAATATATAAATATATATATATTACATAACTCACTACTCTTAGAGTATCTCTAGGTTCAGTTCCAACTTTATGATACTTCTAAGAAAAAATGACTTCATCTGACATTTGAACAGAAAACAACCATTCACAGAAAATGAACATAAATTGACCTCACCTCCGAGTCTTAGATGACAATAAATAAGGCCAAATCCTTGCGGTTCTGCTCCGAAGTTATAAATCTAAGAGGAGGAAGGAATTTTCCCTCACTTTGGCTTACCTGCTTATGAGCATGGTCGTAAGAATTAATATGATTGTCAAACTCCTGGTGTTTGTGATACTGCTTGTCACATAATTCACAGTAAAAGTTTGCTTTTGCATCTTCCAGAGCCTTTGTTGTGGATTTCTCCTTCTCTGCAAAATCCTTTAAAAAGGGCAAAAATTGTCAGTTATATTTTTCTCTGGTAGGAAGCTGGTTTCATGTTACTATTTTATTTTACTATGCAAAGAATAAAATGCTGGGTTTCCAGATCTACTGAAAATTCAGTGTAGCCTCATTGCTATCATATCAATGGTCATAGAAGCTTTCCAGAAATAGTCCTCTGATTACTGTTACAGCTGATTATTACTCATTCTTTCTCTAGTCATCCATTCCAAGTTGTAATTCTGTCTATTTTCAAACACATTCCTGGCTATTTCTGACTTATCTCCATCAAACCTACCTTGCTCTCACATACATGTTACATATTTGTGTCCCATACAACCACACCTTCACCCAACCAATCAATTCACACTGAACACTCTCCCAGGGAAGTCTCTACTCTCTCTACTGCCAAAGCCTGATACATAGACAGTTTGACTTAAACCAAATGTCTTCTAAAGCTCCAGCACCTGTTAGATCTCACTATTAAACTTATTTCATGTGTTTCAAAATCATAATCTTTATTAAAAATTTTTTCCTTTTAAATTTAAATTACAAACAATATTATTTTACATACCGATCCCAGTTCCCTCTCTGCCCTGTCCTCCCATAGGCCCCCCCACTAACTCCCATACCATCCCTCATCTACTCCCCAGGGAGGGTGAGCCTTCCAATGAGGGATCATCAAAGTCTGACACATCATTTGGGCAGGGCCTAGATGTTCCCCCAGGTTGAGAAAGTATACCTCCATAGGGAATGAGCTCCCAAATTCCATGTACTAGGGATAAATACTAGTTTCACTGCCAGAGGCTCCATACCCTGCCTGGTTCCTGCAACTGTTACCCACGTTCAGAGGGCCTGGTTCAGATCTAAGCTGCCTCCCCAGCTGTCAAACTGGTATCCATGAGCTCCCACTTGCTTAGGGCAGCTGTTTCTGTGGGTTTCCCCAGTATGGTCTTGACCATTTGTTCATCAGTCCTCCCTCTCTACAAGTGGATTCCAGGAGTTCAGTTTTATGTTCTTTCACCTCTAATAGTCTTGGATATATCATTTCTCTACTTAAAACGTTTTCAAGTTATCCAACTGCTTATATGGTAATAATGATGGACATATTCAGTTTATAGATATAGTATCCAATATTCACAGATATTGCACACACTCACCAAATAAGTAGATGGTGAAGTGATATAAAATAGTCAACCTATGTCTTGCTCCCTTGGTAATAAAAAACAGTGATTTCTATTTCCCTTCACACTATGATGTGATGCTTCCTTTCTAATTTTCCGTCATCAGATTTATACTTGTTTCTGACTACCACCAAGCATGCCATATTTTCACATGGTCATTGGTCCACTAAATTCAAGAAACCACTTTATTAATTGTGTGCGTGTACCTACATTGTTAAACAACACAGTGAATGGCCTAGAAACAGGTACACATTTAGTATGTATTCCTTAAATTAATGGATAATGGCAACATATTCATGCTCTCTGCCTCAGTTCTTTACTTAAAATGCTCTCAAATTCTTTCACTGTCTACATGGCAATGGGATGAACACAATGATAGTAATCATTTTATAGATAAATCATCCAGTGTTGAAAGATGTCACATGCCAAACAAGATGGTGGCAAAGAGATTTCGACTAAACAGTCAATGATTATTTCCCTTGTTAGTAAACACCAGAGACACATGATTCAGATGTAAACACTGTCGGGAGTCATGCAGCCTAGTGTTGCATCAGCATATGACTGACTGCCTCTCCAAGGGTTTCCACGGGACAGGTACCTGTGGAAATGGACTCTCACTTGGCAAGGAATAATAGTTCATGGGACAGTGTAGGAATTTGCAAAATTCATGCAGCTTGAAGGTCTTTTGTCTCCCATTGTATTGGCGATTCTTTGGGTGGTTTTTAGTTTTACTTTGTCAGTCACAGATGGAACAGCTATAACTTTCCCCAGAAATTATGTTCCTTTTCAAACATTTCCCCTTAAGATTCAATAGGGGACTAATGTTTCTCAAATCTCTTATCTGGAATTGCTGACTCAGTGAAAGTAGTTAGGTACATTTGAGAAAACCACTTGGAACCTTAACCATGTCTCACAGTTCTGGAAAGGAGAATAGGGCATAAATACACAGAATACAAAAAATGTTTCAGGAATACACATGGTGCCAGCTGTTGAGAGTAACTTTCCTGGACACCAAGCATAGAATCAATGGTAAGATAGTGTATGGCTCAATAGGAAACAAAAACAATGTAAAATATGGGATGGATAAATCCATCTTTACCATACATAGAAGTATGGTTGAAGAAGTGAGGTGGGAAAACAGTGCCCTATCAAAGTCTTGTCTTTTACAGAGAGATTGAGACATGTAACCCACTTGTAGAAAAGGAAACTGTATAAAAACTATATCTTGCAGACATGAAATAATTGTCTGTGTTTGAACATTGTTGTTCTTAAAGCACTGTGCCCATGTCTATTAATTTTAATTTTGTAATCCCAAGTACCTACCAGCAGATATAAGTGCTGGGAGAACAGCATATGTCTGGCTCAATATTTAGTTAAGGCCTGCAAAAGTGATAAACCTTATGTCTACAATAAGGTTATGCAGGTGGTGGGAAGATATTCTTGGGAAGCATAAAGGGGGGACAATGGGGCCTTTCATAATGATCACGATGCATTCCTTAAATTGTTGTGTATTTCTTAAAGTCAAAATAGAAGCCAATAATAAATCAGTTTATGTAACCCTTGTAAGATAACTGTGTTTAACTATAAATAAAGATGGTCTGAGCTATTCCGGGCCATTTGAGTATAATACTCCTTGTGGTCAGAAGTTTTCCTTGTGCCAACACCCCTTCCTCACCTCAGAACCTGGACCCTAGCCAAGGCTGAACCCTGGAAAAAAACAAAAAGATAAATTGAATGAGCACAAAGAATAAGGGCAGGATCAGCCTTAATAAGTAGGAAAAATAAACCAAATACCTGGATTATCTTTCTCAGAGAATAGAAGAATTGGAGTATACTCAAGTTAACATAGGATAGAAGCTTACGGGATAGACTGTATCCAGTAAGGAAATCATAAACTATGGCTTGTGTACAAGAGCCCAATTGTTCTAAGAGCCAAGATAATGGCCTGCTGGTGTGGCCACTGGTGATAAGTGACACAGAAGGATGGCTTTGAAGTAGTGATAATCCTCTTGAATTAGAGAGCTTAGTATCAAGGGAAACTATTATTCTCATGCAGTCATTACCATTGCTTTTCCTCTTCCTCTCTCTAAGAATTACTTTAGGATAATAACAGTTATTATGACATTAGAACAACAGCCTTTGCCTTTAACATTGCTCCATTGTATAAAAATACCTCAATCTCATGAAGCAGAGAGAAAAATAACAAAATTAATGCTTGAACTATGGCACCGATGTATTTTGTAGAGGATGGTAACTTAACTGCAGCGCAACTCCTCTAGTTAATTCTTGTACTTTCTTCTTAAGTTATTTCTAAAACTCCTTTAATTATCACCTTACATGGATTTGGGAGTCATGTTTAATAATTTAAGGCTATCTTAAAGAATTAGAATCATATGGCATTTATTGGGAATGTTTTCCTCAGAAAATATCACAGGACAAAATTACACATCACAGTCCTTGCTTTATTTAGATAACAAGTTGCAATGCATAAGCTTTTACTTTCTTTGCCACTAAAGTCCTAAAGATATTATTTGATTCTTTATTATGAAGAGAGGAAAATAGGGGGTTTTACAGTTTTAATTAACAAAACACACAATTGTAGTTCATATTCAAGTGTGTCCATCAAAGCCAGACGTAAAAATAGAAAGGTATCTATCATCAGCTTAGGGAGTGGAAATGGGGAAGCTGAAACTAGGGGGGTAGAAATCATTAACCAGTGAAGAGAAAAAGAAACAAAGGAAACAAAGGGGCAAAATATATTTAAAAAGAGGGGTATTTTAAGAATATTCGCACACATAAAAATTTAGGTAACAGGTAGCCAGGCAGTAAAGGCTACTTTGTAAGACACTTGTGGTCTACCAGTTCATCTACCCAGTGAGCCTCAAGATAAAATTAGACAGTCTGACCAGATGGAGCTGAGTTTGGCGTTATGTACCAGAGAGTTGGTGGATAAAGTCTCAGACTAGAAGAATCCCTTGCATCAAACCTGTCATTTAGTAGGTAAATCACTGACATTTGTCACTTACATGTTTTGTGTCAAATCAGAGCACTATGAATAGCTAAACTGAAGATAATATTTACTGGTTCATCCTCATCAGTCAACCCAGGCATCTACCCATACTCCCACACTGCCAGTGTTCACATTAAGGATTCACACATCTATTCTTATAGGGAAACTTCCAAGTGTCATATGTTCACAAGTTTTATAGTCTCTTACAGATTATACTCTAGTAGGACAGAGTTATAATCAATGAGGTACAACATAAATTCAGGTGGTGATGGCACACACCTTTATTCTCAACACTTGGGAGGCAGAAGCAGGCTGATCTCTGTGAGTTTGAGGTCAAACTAGATTACAGAGTGAGTTCCAGGATAGCCTGGGCTATGCAGAGAAAATATTCATTGAAAAACAAACAAAAAACAAACAAAAATAAATTATAGGTCAGCGATAATCACCTGTTAACAGAGGCTTGTCTGTTTTGCTGTAATTAGGAATAATTGACAATAAAAGGAGATACTGATTGAGTCTCAGTTTCTGTCTTTCCATCTACCTCTCCCTCCATTAAATATTTGGTAAGCAGTCGCTAGTGTTTTTCTTAGTTTAATGATAATGTAATTTTAGTGACCCAATATCCCTGATGGTAAATTAGGATTATTTTTATTTTCTACAGACTATATATATATATACATTTAAAGATACAAATTAATGTAAAAGTAGTAAAAATAACAACCTGTTCTCAGTATCAGTAAATTTTAAAAATGAAAATGAATAAAATAAGAAGATAAGGTACAAATCAACCCTTGATTTACAGTTAC